GATCTTGTTTTGTCTGCATGGACTGGCTTTTTGGGATCCTGGCCTGTTTGGATGCTCACCTTCCTGGACCTGGAGGGAGGGGGAAGGAACTTGGATTTCCCACAGGGCAGGAAACCCTGACTGCTCTTGGGAATGGTGAGGGAGGAGGAGAGGGAGCGGGGGCGGGGGGGAGCGGGAGGGTATTAGGAGGAGGGGAGGAAGTGGAAATTCTTTAAATAAATAAATAAGGCAAAAAGAGGCATATTAATATTCAAAGTATAAAGTGAATGAATAAAGAATTAGTTGACATGATGTGTTTATACACAAAACTGTATTCTGGAAGAGTAACAAGATGAAAGATGTCCCATGTGCCAGCATAACCTGTAACTACCTGATCAACTGCTGCTCTATCTCCCACAACCTGTGTAACTCAACACCGTAACTCAAGTGTTGCCACATCTCAGTAAACCACAAGTCAACTAAAGCAGATAACCTGATTTTTACATTGAGTTATAGTTTCCTTCATAGAAAAAGAAGTGACCAGAAATTTACTCTTAGTGCATGCACCATCTCTTCCTTCTTCCCCATCTCCTTTCTTTTTCTCTTTTCAATCTTTAAATATTCTTTCATGCTTCTTTATTATGCATGCCAGACATGATCAGAGATGATGTCGCAGTCTGAGCACCTGGGAGGTAGCATGGAAATGAAAAAAAAATGATGTAAATGATAAAAAGAAATATTGTGAATGGTAAGTGTGGGCCTTGTCATCCCACAGTGCAAAGTTTAATCAGGAAGGTAAGTGGAAACAGAACAAAACATAATAAAAATTAAAAAATCAGGTAACACAATTGAATACTTATAGAGTATTATAAATATTGGTCAGTGGAGTAATACAACCTTGCCTAGATTATCTAAAAACCAGTAAAATTGACTTCAACTTCTCTACAATCTTAACATAACCATAAACACTACGTTAACTTTATTCATGTTTCTGTACTAATACAGTACTATATATACTATATACAGCTAGGTGTGATTGGAATATTGACACTGTAAGACAGACCCCGAAACTGTAAACAACAGCGGAAAGAAGAAAGGGGCCATTCTTATTTAAGCTACCACATTAAGTTGTGCAATTTCAAAATATAGATACAGGCATAGACTAAGACATGCAGTGGGAGCTTTCTGCCAACTGCCACCTGCCTGCTTCTCCTGCTTTTGTCTATTTTTTTCTACTCAACTGATTCCTTTGTTGGCGTCAGGACTCTTCTAAGTGTATCTGTCTCCCTGCATTTCCCTTTACTCTGGATCTCTGAGTTTTCAACTTCAGTGTGAAGCAACTTGCATAGAAACTAAGGTCTCATTAATGGTCCTGGAGGATTTGTATTTGAATATTTTCAGAAATGATATTTCAAAGGAATAGTGGCAAATTTTCTGGTAACATTATAGGCTAGTGTTAGAAATGGTTTTGGATAGGCTGTGCATGGTTTTGAAACCATACCACATGAGCAGCCACTTTCTCTACCATCATGTAGGGAGGGCTGTTCTCACAAGCATATTTACCTTAAAAGAAAAAAAAAGATAGAGAAGACTCTTATTTAGTTCTAACTGAGCTTTGATACCACCCACAAAGAACTCCACCCGCCAACCCTTCAGCATCCACAGTGCATAAAACACATCCTTGTGTGTTTTATGTCTTTTAGGAGAGCCAAAGATGACCTGTAATTACAAGTAAATATTGCTATTTAATTTTGTGTTTGTGTTGAATGTATCTTTTACCATCTACAAAGCAAGACTATAATGTCAAAGCAATCACTTTATGTGGTAAACATTTTATTTCCATCTTCCAGATAGGAAGAATGTTGAGAAACATGAACTACTTGTTTCATAACCTTCTTAAACAATCGCTGCCAACCTTGAATCCAGATGTTATACACATGCTTGGCTAGTCCTGCCATCTTCTTCCCAAAGCCACTTCCTCCTACATATTCTACATGTCATTTATGTTCTATTTTCCTTCCTTCCTTCCTTCTTTCCTTCCTTCCTTCCCTCCCTCCCTCCCTCCCTCCCTCCCTCCCTCCCTCCCTCCTTCCTTCCTTCCTTCCTTCCTTCCTTCCTTCCTTTCTTTCTCCTTTTTTTCTTTTCTTTTCTTTCTTCTTATTTTTTGAGACGCAGTCTTTCTGTGTAGCCCTAGCTGTCCTGGAACTTGCTCCGTAGACCATACTGGCCTTGAACTCAGAGATTAAGTTACCTCTGCCTCCTGAGTACTGAAATTAAAGGTGGGGGCCTCTGCACTCGGATTGCGTTCTGGGTTTAAAATTTCAAGCAAACACAATTTCAATTTGAATATTTTAGAATGTCACACTTAGTGTGGGAAAACTATAGCCCTTAGTATCATAAAGATAATTTTAGAGGTAAGTAGCCTAAAGACCAAAAAGAGACATGAACTTTGGCAATGCCCCTTTCTTAACAAGAAAAAAGATAACTGGCTGAGAAACACAGGATCATTTCTTGCTTATGCATCTATTGCTAAAGAACAGATCTGTACCAAGTGCCAATTTTCCCTCAAATATGAGGCATTTAATTAAAGACCTGCATGTGAAAATGTAAGCTAGATATTTTTTTATTTACCTAACTATTTTTACATTATAACCACTGTTAAGATTATTCCCTGCTAAGAAATTCTGCCTTTCCTTTCAGCTCTTGGCTGAGGGTCGGTCTCAGAGCGAAGGTGAGCCTCAGGAAAGAAGCCATCTTTCTGGTCTGCTGAAAGCAGACATATTCCTGGCCAGCATCATACATAACTCCCAAACCCCAATCCTGGGGCAGCCTCACACTGTCTGCTCCTCATGTACTTCACTGAAAAGTAGAAGGAAAACCAGGTGAGTGATAGCAAAGACACAAACCCTTTACTGTTAATTATCACCAAAAACCTCTTCCTATGCTGTTCTGGGCTCCTCCTCATTTGTCTACAGGGATCCTTGAAATGATCCTTAAAAGGAAAGGCACACAGGCCATTAAAGTGGAAGGCAAGGCGGCACTGGTCTATGTCCTTTCTGGCAGGAGAGTCCTTCCTCACACATAAACTTTGCTGTGATGGGATTCTGCTTTTTCCGCTCTCCCTGCCATGGAATAACACCAAAGGAAAACTGAGAAAGTTCCCAGTTGGATAAACCCAGAGCAAAGAATTTCAAATGGCTGTGGTCCTCTGTACCCTCCTTGCTGTTTCCAAATTTTTAGTTCTACTTTGTCAGAGGATAGTGAATGTAGTTATGTGGGCATTGCTAATTAGGTATCACCCACAGCAGAGTCCATCTCCAAACAGTTTTGAAAATTTGGATAGGTAAGCATAGAAGAATTTCTTATTACTGTATATATGTTGATCATGTTCACTGACATGTCCATGCATGAACACACATAGAGTCAGAAAAAAAAAACAATTTTAGAAATGTGTGTGAACAGAAATTTGTAGCAGACTTTAAATTTGTGTAAAATAATTGCTAATTTTCAAAACCTAATCTGATATAAAATCAAGAAAAATAAATTTGAGATTAATTTACAATTATTTTCAAATTACACAGTAAATATATTTGTATTAATAAATGCAAATTGTATACAGAGAAACAATTTTTGATTCATAATCACAAATGAATAGAATAAAACAGATTTGTTTGCTGTTGCTACTTGGTCTGCATTTAACATTACATCTTCATGAGAATACTTTATGAGTGGAGAAAGAAAATCTATAAAAGGCAAGCATTCTGTTTTTCAACATTTTCAGCATGGCCTTTTATAGAAAAAAATAGATACTAAATTTCAAAATATTTAATTTTATAAATTATACTTAAATGATATTTAATAAAAACCACAGGCACAAAATAAAGTTTTTTTTTAAAAAAGTGATACATACAAAGTTTGCAAGTTAGAAGGGCCATATGATGGTTGGAATGATAATAGTCTCTAAGATCAAATATTGAATGCTTGGTCCCCCTTGCCAGTTGGTGGAACTGTTTGAAAAGGACCACGAGACGTGACCTTGTTGGAGGAGTTGTGTGATTGGGAACAGGATTTAAAGTTTCAAAAGACTTGTGACATTCCTAATGTTTTTTTTTTCTGTTTCCTGCTTATGAATGCTTTCAGCCATGCCCTTGTTAACTGCTGTCATGCTTTTAACTTTATCATCATGGACTCTGGACTAATTGAACACTTTATTTTACAAGTATTATAGGTAAAAGTGTTTTATCATGGCAATAGAACAGTAACTAATGAAGACCATTAGAGATTTTTACTTCCAGATCCCCTTTCTATACAGAGAAATCCACAGAGGTAGAGTCATTTCTTGTCTGTTTGCTCACTTCAAGGGCAAGATGAGCATTTACAGGATTTAACTCTACTTTTCTAGATTTGCCTAAATTTCCTGCCATCAGCCTTATATTATCCCATGGAATAAATATATTCTTTCCTGTAATTATTACCCCAGTTCTTACTATAAGGAATTCTGTTATGCCTTTACCATTTCATCCATTCCTTTATGACATATCACTAAGGTTAGAGTCCAAATTATCCAACTTTTTAAAATAATGAACTGCATTTGCTCCCAAACCATGACATCTACAAGATTTAACATCATGAAAACATATCTAGGACCTTAGTAGAGCTTCAGCACTAATTGTAGGGCTGCCTGTGACTCCAACTCAGGAGCATCCACTGTTTTCTTCTGGCCTCTACAGAGACCCACATACATACACACATACACACACATATAAATACATAAATAAAATAATAAATAAATAAATTGTGTCTATAGCAAAACTTCAGCCTGTTATTGAAAAGAATTTAAATTTCACTCTTCCATAGTAAATTTAATTCAGAAGTGACTTAAAAGCACATAATGTAAAAATGACTTCTATAAATAATCCTTTGCTGGGGTCCTTTGAACAAATGAAATAATAAGCTCAGAACTTTTTGTGATTGTTACAAACTATTTCAGTAAATTTTATACTTGTATTTTAAATGGGAAGGAAACCAATTTATCTTTATAATATTAAAAACTAAACTTGAGGTGGCAAATTCAAGTCCGGTCAATCCGGTGGTCTTCTTTGATGTCAGCATTGGTGGCCAGGAAGTTGATCACATGAAGATCGAGCTATTTGCAGACGTGGTGCCAAAGACGTCAGAAAACTTTAGGCAATTCTGCACTGGAGAGTTCAGGAAAGATGGTGTTCCGATCAGATACAAAGGAAGCACCTTCCGTAGGATCATAAAGGATTTCATGATTCAGGGCAGAGATTTTGTTAATGGAGATGGTACTGGAGTCGCTAGCATTTACCGTGGTCCATTTGCAGATGAAAATTGTAAACTTAGGCAATCGGCTCCAGGCCTGCTTTCCATGGCAAACAGTGGTCCCAATACAAACGGCTGCCAGTTCTTTATCACATGTTCTAAGTGTGATTGGCTGGATGGGAAGCACGTAGTGTTTGGAAAAATCATTCATGAACTTCTGGTGATGAGAAAAATTGAGAATGTTTCCACGGACCCTAACAATAAGCCCAAACTGCCAGTGGTAATCTCCCAGTGTGGGGAAATGTTATCTAGCCCAAGACTGAACCAGGTCTTCTGTCCTGGGTGATTCTCTCCTTGAGTCTGACAAGTTGAACTGACCTCTGCCTCCACAATGTGTGAACCAGGACCTGGAAGTATCACAAATGAGAACCAAGATCTTGTTTAAATTTTGAACTGTAAATAAAGGATTAAAAAAAATAAAACTTGAATGATTTGAATATAAATGTTATTATAAGAAATGATTAATACCCATCCAATCATTGTTTTTAACTAGTTCAAAAGGTACATTTTGTGTGCATAAGAGATTTTAAAAGGTCTTGATATTGTGAACAATAAAGAATTCCTTGAAAACAGTGATGTGTAGGAGCAAAGATGAGACATTATCAAAATGTTAGAAAGGTCTCTTGAAGATGCTTCTGTGGACTCCATAAAATGATCTTTCACACTCAATGGTCACTGTCTGCTTCAGGAAGATGACCTGAGGATGCCTTTGCATTCTTGGGATGTCAAGGATGTTGCTGAGGAGCTAGAATTTTACTCATACTTCCAATTTAAATAGCAGTCTAATACAAACCAGTTGTCTGAGAAGATTTTAAATATTCGAAACAGTTAAGGTTCTCAATCATTTTAAGTATACATTTTATAAAATGTAAAACAAAATGAAATTTTAGACAGGTCAAGTGCAAGTAAACTCTAAAGGCAGTTAGTATAGGGACTGAAGACATCTAAAAGTACACTTTGCAACTCATTTTGGTGGCGGTGTATGAAAAGGAACATAAAATCTCGTTAATATTTTGAACATTTTGTACTAAGTAAAATAAAAAAATCTTGGATCCATTTGGATATATAAAATATAATATTTAAACTTAGTTTCACTTTTTGGCTTGTTTAATGTGGTTACTCGTATGTGTGTGTTTTTATTCACAGTAGTCTGGAAGCATCTCTCGTCTCTCAACCTCTCTGGGCAGACTGCCAGTAGAGCCAGGGACATCATAATATTTTCCTAACTGGCTTCCAGTGTTTTTACTTTCAGTTCAACCTCCATCTATTAGTAGCGATACCACTAATGCCTCCCATGTCTAAGACTCTTTCAATAGCTCTTTCCTACTTCCCCAGACTAACATCCCAGGATTTTAAGCAAAATGAAGAGCTTGCCTCTGCTCACTTCTCTAAAGTCATTTTGTTTTAACCAATCCTCTTGCAACACAAAGTCCCATTCACAGGGCTGCACTGCCTTGCTGCAGGGATTCTACTCACGCTACTGTGAGGTCAACTCCGAGCCTTGCGTGCTAAGGCTCATAAATCCTTCCAGATCAGCTGGGACAGGGCCATCCTTTATACATCTTTAGTTGTTTGTTAGTATTTCCCCCCAAGTCCTTTCAGAGACTTCCCAGTGTTCTTGGAAATACATAAAAGATGCGCAAACAACTGATGCCATAGTTCGCACTTTTCTCTCTTCGTGTCGCCTACATTTATTCATTTGTAAAATAAGGATCCTCCATATGAGGACTTCAATAAGTATTGCATGAAATAACATATAAGCTCATAAAATACCAGGTATCTCATAGGGCTTCTCCACTGATATCTTTAGGAACATTTAATAACTTTTAATAAAAATCACACTTGCATCATATTTAAAGATTTAACCTTCAACCTTTGAAGGAATATATATTTCATTTTATAGTTTATGCTGGATGCTTTAAAGTTCAGAGTAATAACTTTAAAAATAATGGCTACCACTGTGGAAAATCCCAGTGCTGCATAATCTCACTTGAAATACATGCAGAGATTTAAAAAAAATAGACTTGATGCTTCTTATGATAATGAGAAAAAAATCTTGCTTAAAATTCACAGAAATAGAAAATACTGTAATAGAAATGTTAAAGGAAGTTAGTACAATGAATATGCTTATAGTTCTTTAAAAGGTTAATGCTTTTCTATTTCACTACATTACCCTACTTCAAAATAGCTTCAAATTAACTCGAACTAACTTTGATCTATCTGAGGTCCAATTTAAAGATTTTAATTGAAAAGATATAAAATAACCAATTTTGATTGAATTGTAACTTCAGGCTTCTGGTACAAATTAAATATGATTGTATATGTGATGAAAAATAAGTATATCTATTTATCATCTGCTTCCAGACTATAGCATTGTCACAACTACCCACATGAAATTGTAGAACAGGGGAGTATTCACTTGTCAATGACTTCGTTTAACCAAAAGTTGATGTAGAAGGAAGGTGAACACATTTGCTTCCTTAATTACTCCTTGCTGAACATCCCACAATGACAGTAACTTGTTCTCAAGATACGCCCAAATTACCTTGCTTAAAAATAAAAATTAAATTTGCTCAAAGAGTTTATTTTTAATTTGTTTAGCAGATGTTTTGAACATCAAACACTAGAAATGACAATTTTATTTTCTTTGTCTTTAAAAAGTGGGTATTATTTTTCCCTAGAGACATAACAATCCTGTATAATATGTTTCAGAGGTAAATTTGTCTCTTTGCTTATATAGTGAAATATAATTTCCAATATAATTAAAATTACTGCAAATGATTTTATGGAAAACAGTCAGGGTTGTTGGAAGACCTTTTCATTCTATAAATACTGCCTTAGTTAGGGTTACCAATTGCTGTGATGAAACACTATGACCAAAAGTAACTTGGGAATGAAAAGGTTTATTCAGTTTATATATCCCAAGTCGCAGTCCGCTGACATCAGTCAAAGCATAAAAGTGAACTGGGCAGGAACCTGAAGGTAGAAGGTGGTGCAAAGGCCATGGAGGCATTCTGCTGCACACGATTTATTCAGCCTGCTCTATTATAGCACTCAGAACCACCAGCCCACGGTAGGACCATGCACACCATGCTGAGCTCTCCCTCATCAATCTAATGAAAATGCCCTCCTGGCTTACCTAAAGCCCAGTATCATTTTCTCAGGTGAAGGTCCTTCCTCTCAGATGACTGTAGCTTGTGTGAAGTTGACATGAAAACTAGCTTGTATACGTCTTTTTATTTTCATAAAGTTTCACCTCATTTCAAAAAGAAATATATTCATATCTCAACCAAATTTTATACACACACTAATCCTTTGCTCTTATCATCTTTTGTCTCAAAATACTGATAAAACTGATTGGCTTGAAAAGTGAAGGCTCAAGACAGGGATCAGAGCACAAGTTCTTTGCAATCAAGTGTAATCACTGGTGCTGAACCAGCAGCTTAGCTCTTTACCATGTATTTGACCAATGCCACACAGTAAAAGTGTGAACTTCGGGATCTGCTGAAGTAGCTTCCTTAGGAATGGAATAATAGGGTTAGAGAAGTTATGAGTTTGAAGGTAGGTGGCTCACAAGGTTTCTGTAACGAGTAGCTGTCAACTTTTTACTCTCTAGGAACTCATAAGTCTAGCAATTGCATATAACATGAGGGCCAGGCTGCTTGTTGGAGTTTCTGTCCTGCCCAATTCCCACAGCTAGTAAGCCCCCAAAGAAAATCACACAGCGGTCTCCATAAGTTATAAAACTGATTGGCCCATTAGCTCAGGCTTCTTATTAGCTCTTGTAGCTTATATTAACCCATTATCCTTATCCGTGTTATCCACATGGCTCAGTACCCTTTTCAGCGGCTCAGGTCACATCCTGTGTCTTCGGTGATCTGGGCAGGAGTGGGGAGAGAGCTTCTGTCTTCCCAAAATACTCGTGTTCTCATTGCCCACCTCTACTTCCTGTCTGGTTGACCCGTCTATACTTCCTGCCTGAGTCAATCAGTGTTTATTTAAAACACTGATTGACAGAATACAGACAATTCTCCTGCACCAATTACACATGTATTAAACTATTTAATTAGTATAAAACCCCTATGAAACAGATAGCATGATTGTGTTTATTTCCAGAAAAAAAACATCCAAGGGTGTGAGATAATTAAATAACTTGCCAAGAAGTAAATCTATAACATGTTGAGGCTAGACTTGTTAAGAGAACATCTCAAGGATATGCTTTACTCATGCTTCAAAGTAAAAGAGAGTTGTAGGACAGAGAATGTCCTCCATTCAGTGACCCAATAAACCACAGTCCACCAGCGGCAGAAAAGTAGCCCTGAAGAGTGGACAGTACTAGAAAGAAGCATCTTAACTAAAAAGCATGCTGTAACACCAGCACAGTGAACAGCTGATGATGTTTCTAGAAACAAAGATTCTGAAGAAAGCTGCTGGAGTGGTCAGAATACAAATAAACAAGTGGCAAGGTCAGGTCAGGCATGAAACGTAGGCATTTTCTTCTTCATAAAGAGGTGTCATTGAGGCTTTAAGCAAATAACTTAAAGCACATGAGTTTTGGTGATTTATTATTGATGTTAGCGTGCTTTATTTTTTTTGAGCAATATAGGAATAAACACATATCTTTGTAATGTTAAATTCTACTACTAGAATTTGTGATGTGGCAAACTGACAGACTTTATTGACTTTACATGGGAGGCCTCACTCTCTCTGAGGAGTGGATGGGGTATGCGGGAGGGAAGAAGTTGGGGGAGCAGGAGAAGTGGGGGAGAGGAAACTGGAATTGTTATATAAAAATAAAAAAGATTTCTTAGAAAAAGAATTTTCTGGATTAACTGCTTTAAAACGTGATTTTTCTAACAGTCTGACTTAGCTTCATCTCTCTCTCAATGATATGCCTTTGGCAATGACGCAAGGGAATGTCTGACACACAGATCAGTGTATATCATATACCATGTTTGATGTTAACTTCCTCATGTTACATGACATTTCATAGTATAGCTGGCTTGAAGATTAGCTAATGCTCTCCAATGAACAACAGCTCAAAGGGTATTTTGTCAACTAATGTACGTAACATGTCATAATCCACCATTTTTGGGTGACTTCTGCCGGGCTCCAGAGTTCAAGGGTAGGAGCATGAGGATTAGAATTATTAAGCAAAAGGAACATAGATATAATAGAAATAAGAGGCAGAAATGTAGGATAGTATCAGGAGGGACATCCAGTGACTACTGAAAGTTGCAGGTGTTAAATTTCCATTTGCTTAAATATCCTGACCCCAAAAGGTAG